GAGAATAAGCCTTTTTATAACCTTGTAAGAAGGCTATAAAAAGGCTTATTCTCTAACCCGAGTTCCCAGCAGATGGGAATTTACTTGCGGCCAATAGGACTTACACCGTCACAGCCCCTGGGTAGACACAGCCTCTAGTCTGATGAGGTGACAAGAAGCACTAGAGATGATGGGGACAGCCAAGCCACCAACCTCTAAATACTCCACGTCTTGTGCTGACGACGACAGGGAGACCCCACCACCCATTGCAGATCCCAGTCCAACAGAGACCAGTGCACCCTCATGTCTTCACCTACTCATGTCACCCAAGATCCCACAAGCACACCTGTGCCCCTAGACCGGCAAGGAGGCTCTAGGGAACATGCTAACTGGAGAGAACCTACTCGAAGTTGACATGAGTTTTGCAGTTGACTGACTTTATGACCTCAGACAGGAATGCTTTGCTTTTAGACTGTATTTTCCCCAACTTCCTCCCGTCCCGGGGACAATGAGGCAGACCCAGAATCAGGAAGGAACACCCTGAAGAAGGGGGTCCCGTGGTGAAAGTGAACAGGTGGTGCCTGGGCAGCAGCCTGGAGCCCCGACTCCTCCTACACTAATATTCTCTGGGACCCCTCCCAGTGGCAGCCACCAAGGCCAGAACATTAAAGGGGACAGACAAGGGACACTCAAAGCTGGGGGTGGGGCATGATCATGATTAGTGAGCTCCAAGCATTAGGATTCTTAGGGAACTATGTGCCCTCAGGAAGCTCTCCTCCCAAAGACGAATGGGAATTTCTGGTGGGAAGAAAGGATCAGTTTCTCACTGCCATGCTCGGGCCTTCCCAGAGCCCAGCACACCCACTGCTGGGCTCTCCAGAGCTGGGCGTACTGATTCAACAGTGTATGTCTCTTTTGACTCATGACCTTTTACATCTGAAGCCAACGGACACATCTTGCCCCAAATGCCACTTGCATTAAAGCTACTTCCTGCGGAAGAACCTTTCATAGCCCCCCACTTCCGCTCTAGCAAAGTCAAATTCTAGAGCGCTGGGTGACCTGGGGCCGGTCATTTTACCTCTGTAGGGTTCCATTTTTGTAAATGTGAAAGAAAGGATTTGGATGAAATCGTTTCAGAAGTCTCTTCAAGCCGAAAGACACCAGGATCATCTCCATTGCTCTTCTTGTCTTGGGATTTCAAAATTCCCCTTTATGTGGCCATTGCCTCCCAGCACCATCCCAGATCAGGCCTGCCCTGCTCCTCACGCCCATGTGCTGGGCCCCCACTTTGCTTTTGGCGGTGCTGCTCCCCACACGTGCAAGTCCTCCTTGTTCCTCTGTGTTTACTTAATCCCATTCAGCCTCCAGCGTTCAATCCAGTTTCACCTCCCACATGAAACTTCCGCAGCCCACATTCATCTCTCAGTTCTCTGAATCCTGGTGTTTTCATTACAGCCACTTGCACCTATTTTGGTACTTAATTCTGCTCCGGTGATTTTATGCAGATCAGTTCTCTCTCCCCAGAGGGTTCCTTACATTTGGTTTATGATCTACCAGCCAGGCTCAGCCTAACTCCTGTTCTTAGAAAAGTGCTCAGACAGTTGACTGACAGCAGCAAAAACGCAGCTTGATGAAAATGATTGACAACAAAGTCCTAAAAAGTAACAAAGTACAGATGACATCCCAGGCAGGCAGGACTCCTGAGCCTCCAGAAAAGACCCCATACCTGGGTGGGGATGCCACCAACTAGGTATAGAACCCAAGCAAGTCCCCACCCATCTCTTATCAAAAACTGGAAGGACTTGGGCCACCGGAAGTTCTCCAGAAATTGCTTCCAACTCTTATTTGGCATGACCGTATTTCCAGAAGGCTAGCAACTTTCAGGAAGGAGGAAGGACTCTGAGCCCTTGTAAAACGAACATTGACTAGCTTCACTTGTGCCGATAACAGAAGAGATACTTCTTCCCCACGTTTGGCTTTGAGGTGATATGCCTGGCATAGGGGCATTACCAAGGCATGACAATCCCCTGGAGAACTTCTGACCATTTCCAGGAAAATGAAATTCAGGTGAAGGTTGTCTTTTCTAATATCCTTAGAAACAGTGATTTTTTTTTTCTAACTTGCTTTTGCCAATTGTAGTTTTGAGATAATGATACTTCAGTTTTATAAACCCAAACGTTTAGAGCAGGAATCTGTTTTCCTTGTCAATGTTAAAGCTTAAATAAAGCCCAGTTGCAATTCTTTTTTTCCCTGGGGCTGGACTGTAATGCAGGGTGGTGGTCAAGGGTCCCAGCTCTGGACTCTGACTCAAGACTGAATTCTGACTCCTGTGCTTATTAGCTGGGTGACCTTGGGCAAGATATTAAAGTTCTGAGACTCAGTTTTCTCATCTGTAAAATGGGGGTAATAGTACATCCCTCTTAAAGGGAAGCTGTTATATATGCACAATGCTTAATGCAGAGCTTGGCTGTTCTAAAGATCACACTATGAGCTTAATTTGAAGTGATCCTCAAATGGGAATGTCCCCAGTGCCTGACAGAATAACACATATATAGTCCCTGAACACAGACATTTTATCCTAGGCCTCAAAGAATCTCACAAATGATTTTTTAAAGGAGTTTGAGCAGCTCACAAAAAAACAAAACAAAAACAAAATCAAGCACAGAAAGAAATAAGGCATTTAGGAACATTGCCTAAAACAAAAATTAGCAGGAGAAAAAAAAGAGAAGAATCAGATAAAAGACTTTGGATACTGAAATGATTAGACTGGCTTTTGCACTTCAATTTGGATTTGTCCAAATAATTTCTGTATTACTAGACAAAAGCCAGCCTAAGTGTTCAATGACACAAAACAAAAAAGCCTAACAAAATGTTCTAGATTGAAAGAGATTAAAGAGGCAAGACAAGTAAATGCAATGTGTGATCTTTGGTGAATCTAATAATCAGTGACTGATAAGTCAACTAATTAACTCAACACAGTAGCAGATTAAAGAAATGAATCATACAACCATCGTAATATGTACAGAAAAATATTTGATACAATTTGACATCCACAGAAAGCCAAAACCAATTTGACCCAGTGGATAGAGCGTCGACCTGCTTACTGAAGGGTCCTGGGTTTAATTCCGGTCAGGGGCATGTACCTTGGTTGTGGGCACATCCCCAGTGGGGGGTGTGCAGGAGGCAGCTGGTCGATGTTTCTCTCTCATCGTCATTTCTAACTCTCTGTCCCTCTCAATTCCTCTCTGTGTAAAATAAATTTAAAAATATATTTAAAAAGGGTTAGAAAGTTAAAAATAAAATAGAGCTTTCTGGGTTTCATAAAGAGTTATCTACAGAACAGTCAGTAGTGAACACCCTACTTTCTGACAAAACATTAAACACTTAAAAAACAAACAAACAAACAAACAAAAAAACTTGGGCATAAGATAAGAATACCTCCAACCACCATGTTTAGGAAAAATTGTCATGGAGGTACCTACCAGCACAGTAAGGCAGAAGCTTGAAAAGGTACAGAGATTACAAAGAGCAATAGAACTGTCATGATTGGCAGGATGTGTCTATAGAAAATCCAAAAAGATATGCAGGTAACATTAAACTTTGTTTAAGTGGGTTCAAAATCAATATTGATAAAAATCAATTTTGTTTCTAGACACCAATAGCAAACATTTTCTCAATAAAAACATAAGAATCTGTTTACCATACAATAAAAGGCATATGCCTAAGACACATATGCAAGACCTGGACAGAGAAAACAAACTTTGAAAGGCATTAAAGATCTAAGTGCATGCTCATGGTTTGGAAAACTCAATATTGTGAAGATCTCTATTTCCCCCAACGTGATTCATAGATTTCAAAGCAATTTCTATCAAAATCCAAACAGGGTTTTTGTTTGTTTGGTGGAAATTGACACATGGATAGTAAAATTTGTATGAAAGTTTAGGGCCAAATCACTCCTTAAAGAGAAGGAAAAACAGCCCTCACCAGTTGTGCTCCGTGGGTAGAGCGTCAGAACGAGAACTGAAAGGTCCGAGGATCGATTCTAGTCAAGGGCACGCACCTTGGTTGCAGGTTCCCTGGCCCTGGTTGGTGTGCGTGCAGGAGGCAACCAATCAGTGTGTGCGTCTCTCTCACTGTCTCTCCCTCTCCCTTCCACTCTCTTTAAAAATCAATGGGAAAATATCCTTGAGTGAGAATAAACAACAACAAACAAATAAAGAAGGGAAAATAGACTTGTTTTTCGAATAATAAAACTTACTCTAAAGCTATAGAATTAAGACAATGTGCTGTTGGCACAGGGATAGACCAATGACCTAGTAAAGCAAAACAGAGTTTGAAACAGATGCCGACACGTGGGGATCCTTATATATGAACAGAGGCGGCTGACTAGAAACCCAAGTCCTGCCTGGTAGCCCACTCTCTCCATCGGGGCCAACAGCACTAAAGACTGTGGGCAATCCTTTATAATTATCAACCTGACACCTGCCTTCCTCTGTCCTGGTAGCAAAAACGAAAACCATACATAGGATGATCAAAATGTGCTTATCACTAGCAGTGGCCTTTCCATGTTACGGATGAGAAAAAAAAAAAAAATCAAGGTTCAGAGAGAGAACACTTGCTCTAGGCAACACAGCACAGAGAACGAGAACCCAGGTCTTTGTGACGCTACACCAGTGGTCGGCAAACTGCGACTCTCGAGCCACGTGCGGCTCTTTGGCCCCTTGAGTGTGGCGAGTCTATTTTGAAGAAGTGGCATTAGAAGAAGTTTAAATTTGAAAAAATTTGACTCTCCAAAGAAATTTCAATTGTCGTACTGTTGATATTTGGCTCTGTTAACTAATGAGTTTCCGAACTGGCCTACATCATGTCCCTTCTCACCTGCCTCTGGCCCCAGCCCTGGGCACTTCACCACTGCACTGCAGCCTGCGTGGACCCAAGCCGTGCATTTTGTGCTAATGCAAAGGTCAAAATGCACCGAGTCTCAGCAATGCGGGCCACCAGCAGGGCCATCGAAGATGTACCTGGTCCCAGGAGCAGGAGCAGCCCCAGCAGGAAGGTGTGCGGCCGTGGCCCCATGCTGGAGTCCTCCAGGCGTCGCGGGTCTGGGATGAATCCTGTCAGCAGATGGATGAGCTGTCACCCTTCCTTTTATGCGCCTCTGTTGTCTGATAACGCGCCTGTCATAAATTTTACTGTGTTCACCTTTGAATGGGATAGTGGTGGCTGTAAATGATAAATATTAACATTTAGGCAAATGATATCTCAGGGCAGATGGGTCAAAGATAGGTATGGGCTCCCAGGAGGATGGGTTTCCAGAAGTGGCCACTGTTGGCATTGGTCTCCACCATGCACAGAGGGTGTTCCTGTTGTCCCTCATCCCCTCAGCGTGGGTGGCCGGGAGTGTTGGCCTGACATGCACATCACACATCTATTGTCTGCATGTTCCAATGAGAGATACACGCCAGAGGTGAACTGTGGAACTCATTGGGCAGAATCAGCAGTTTCCACCAAAACCAGTTTGGCTCAGTGGATAGAGCATCGGTCTGCAGACTGAAAGGAACCAGGTTCGATTCTGGTCAAGGGCATGTACCTTGGTTGCGGGCACATCCCCAGTAGGGAGTGTGCAGGAGGCAGCTGATTGATGATTCTCTCTCATCGATGTTTCTAACTCTCTATCCCTCTCTTTTCTTCTCTGTAAAAAGTCAATAAAAAATATTAAAATAAAAAAAAAGAAAAAAGAAAAGAATCAACAGTTTCCCGTGGGCAAACTCAGTGGGAATGCTAGCCTGGGTCTCAACTGGACTGGCAGGGCTGAAATGTAAATAAAGCCTGGGCGACAAAATACCCTTGAGGGTGAAATTTAAATCCCCCCGCAGATATCAAGGAACAAATGCCTTTGGTTTACATGAGCAAATATATTTAAACCCATGCATGTGACTACCCTTACGGCAGCAAGGCCAAGAGTTTGACTCCTGAGATCTAACTAGGAATCTGCAGCTGGTTTCTATTACCCAACTTCAGATCTTGATCTGCCGACATGTTTCTCCTGTGCTTAAAATCACAGTGATAGCTTGGTTATCTTGGACATAAAGTGAAGACTAAGTGGGCGGCTCTTTGTTCCTCACTCCTGATATTAAGATGTTGTTGTTTTCCTTATCTGCTCAGAAACATGTGGCACATGCAGCATAGAGGTCTCAGGACACAGCAGGAGTGTGTGGACACTGATACAACCAGCCCACTGGCCATCAGCTGGTCCTAGAGCCTGGCAGAGAGCAGGACACAGAGAAGGAAGAAAAAAACATCCCCAACGTGAGGTCTGCAGGGGTCAGTTGGGCACAGGTGCTCCTGAACATCTGACACTGACACTTACCTTCACTAAACTGCCCACAAGCTCCACAGAGATCCAGAGTTACTATCCTGCTTGTAAAAAGGTCAGGAGTCCAGCTCTATGCCCCCAGCAGCTCTGAGGACATCCATGAGTCTGCCTGGACTGAATGAGCATTCACAGGTCTCCATTCATGCTTTGGCAAGTTGGAGCCAAATTATTTCTGCCTATTTCCCATCATGCTGGGAAACAAGCAGGAATAACTTGGCTCTGCAAGCCATGCATTTGCTTCCTGTCTCTTCCTACTTTTCTGTTTAATCACCAGGCCCCACTGGGCTGGCACACACACCAACCTAATCTCCTTTACATTTAGAAAATGACTGCGAAACATTTTTAACCTTTGTGAGGCATTTTGAAATGTCCTCTTAGGTATTAGAAATATTTGAGTACCCTCAATACATCAAGAAATCCTCAACTGGGCCCAGCCAGGGTGACTCAACGGTTGAGCGTGGATCCATGAATCAAGAGGTAACTGGTTGGATTCCCGGTCAGGGCACATGCCTGGATTGAAGGCTTGATCCCCAGTAGGGGGCATGTGGGAGGCAGCCGACCAAGGTTTCTCATTGATGTTTCTATCAGCTACTTTCCCCTCTCTCTAAAATATAAAAGAAATAAAAGAAATCCTCAACTGAGGGGGCAGTGGGGAAATAACATTCCTTGGGCACTCCATGAGGCATAGCAGTGGGCTCTTTACGTGTGTTAGTTTAATTAGCACCTACTTTTAATTGGTCTCTTAGCAGCTGTGAAAACAAGAGGGAAAGCACTGGTCAAAAGCCAGAGACAAGCTCCATCACTTATTTGTAAATTTTTGTTTTTCTAATTTTTGCTACTGAAATGTCCCAAAAGGACATGTCCTAGAAAGGGGAAGATGCTCCATTTCAGTTTTCAGCCTCAATCAGCACACGCTCCTACTGGGGAAAGCACAGGCCCATAAATTTAAATCATTTAGAAATGGCAGTCCATGCCTCAGCTGAGTGCCGTTGTCCAACAATCCATAAGGGGGTGCTAGACCAAGCTTGTGGATTAAAGCAGAGCTGGCCTTAAGAGTATTTTCAAACTGGGAGTTACATACAACCCATTATTATCCCATGAATTTAATTTGGTGAAGGATCAACCCACTTAAAAAAAAATTAAATAGAATACAAAACATCCAAGGGCATTGCATTTGGTAAGGGTAAATAATGTCTTGGGAAATTTTGTTTCAGCTACATGGGGTGGTGTAATATATATTTCTTAATATTGATCATGGTAAAAAAAAAAAAAAAAAAGTAAGAAAGAAAACCACTCAAGAGAGTAGTAGATCAGATCCACAAAGAAATCCCTAGACTTTGAAAGAAAGAAAACATGTTTGTTTCCCTCTGGTTAAAAGATGCAGCTATACCAAACTCCCCTGTGTTAGGAGTATAAGCAATGCTTGCAGTTAGCTCCGAGCCTGGGGAAAGAGTATATAAATCAAACTTTGTACACACAACTACATCGAAATTACAACTAAACCACAGAACCACCATCATTCAGAACTGCCTGAAGTCAAGCTGCAATGAAAGCCCCACCAAGAGGGAATTAAAGACGCCACATGGAGACTTGTAGAAGGGGTGGACACAGGGATGGCTGGTTCCATCCCCACACGTGGCAGATAAAAATCGGGAGGGATATCTGGGATGAGGAGGTCTCCCCGGAGGAATGAGGGGTCCAAGTCTCACATGGAGACCCCCAGTCCAGAGTTCCAGTGTCGGGAAGAGAAATCCCCATAACTTCCGGCTGTAAAAACCAGCGGGAATTGAGGCTGAGGGGGACAGAGGCTTCTGGACTCCCAAGCAGTTCCCCTTAAAGGGCCCATGAACAGATTAACTCGGACGTGCTCGCTCTGAGTCCCAGCTCAGGAGCAGCAATTTGAAAGGCACCAAAGACATATGGGGAGGAACTGAACTGTCCAGCATCAGCAAAAGATCTGAGGGTGGGGAGCAGATTTCTCCCAGTATGAGGTGCTGACAGAAGCCATTATTCCTTTTCTGAGGACCTCCCTCACTCCTCCCTGTCCTTCCTCCTCTTCCCCCCCCCCCCCCCCACAGAACCAGCAGGCAGGTACCATATCTAAGACTCCATCAACCTGACTCAGACTATTTGCCCCACCCTGATGATTCCCTGAGGCCCTGCCCCACCCAGCCTTCCAGCCCAATCGAGCTGTTTCCAGTGAAAGAGACAAAATGAAGAAGGAACCAGTGATGTATGTCTATTTTTAAAAAATATATATATTTTATTGATTTTTTACAGAGAAGAAGGGAGAGAGATAGAAAACTAGAAACATCGATGAGAGAGAAGCATCGACCAGCTGTCTCCTGCACATCCCCCACCAGGGATGTGCCCGCAACCAATGTACATGCCCTTGACCGGAATCGAACCTGGGACCCTTCAGTCTGCAGACCGACGCTCTACCACTGAGCCAAACTGATTTCGGCTTTATGTCTATTAAAACACACACACACACACACACACACACACACACACACAAAATTAAAATATCACAGGGAAAAAAAATGAGACAGAGAGAGAAAAGAAAGAACAACGAGGCAAATTGCAGTAGACACACTCCACCAGACCTGGCCTTCTGGTTCTTGCTAGCAGCTAGCACTCTGCCTCTTTTAGCAGGAATTCACTCAACGTTGGAATGTAAATCAATACATATATGAAAGGCAGGATAAAAGGAAGGAGACCAAGGCTACCATAAAAAAGGTCAGCTCACCAGAACAGAATAGCAAAGACAAAAGGAATACAAATCATGTTTTATGATAGAAAACTAAGGAAAGAGGAGAGGCAGGTTAGCCCAATACCATGAAGTAATGGGAGGAAACATTGGAGAAGCAACACTGAGCTTCCCAGCTCCTGGCTCTTCCCCAAGAAAAAAACAGCCAGAAAAACACCTTTATCCATCCATGCAGTGGCCCTCAATCCTGACTGCATATTGGAATCGCCTGGATTTTGATAGGCTTTTAGGACAATGCCTTTGCCTGGGCTTCCCTCTCAGGCACTCTGAGTTCACTGGTCTGGGTGGAACCTGGGCGCTGGTTCTTTGGAAAGTTCCCTGATGGGTCCTTATGTGCAGCCAGGGCTGAGGGCCCCCGGTCCAGTGGAGCCAGGCCTTCCTGGTGCCCAGGGCCTGCATCTCCATCCGGGAAAAGGGGGGTCCCATGGAGACAGGCCAGCCGGCAATGCCAGTAGGTGCTGGCACACAAGAGCAGCTCTTTCAGGATCAGACCTGAGATTCTACATGACAGGACCCACAGAATGCTCTGGGCCCCTGGTCTGCAAACTGTGGCTCTTGAGCCACATGCGGCTCTTTGGCCCCTTGAGTGTGGCTCTTCCACAAAATACCACGGCCTGGGCGAGTCTATTTTGAAGAAGTGGCGTTAGAAGAAGTTTAAGAAATTTGGCTTTCCAAAGACATTTCAATTGTTGTACTGTTGATATTTGGCTCTGTTGATGAGTGAGTTTGCCGACCATAGCAGACAAGTGGTGTGAGAATATTCTGCCCACCAGAGCTTCCCGAGGAATTTCTGCTAAACATTCCCTTAACTCAGTTTCCTTTGCATCTTGTCTGTGAGAGCTGTGACCTATTCTCCAAAGAACTGAAGCCTCCCAGTCTTTCCCAGGAATCTCACATGCTCCAGACCTTGCTGCATCCTGTGCTAACCTC